GTAGCTTTGTGCTTAATTTCAAACAAACGAATAAAAATGTCTGTAGATTAATGAACAAGAATTGACTCATATTGACATCTTGTGGAATATCAAAAAATGGAGAATAGTTTGTTTGTAGTTATGAGCAAAAGCTACACACTGGACAATTTGTGCTGTGCCCGCCACGGCTATGGAAACTAGGTTTTTGGCGTTATAAGCATAAAGACTTACTGCTGAGCCACTGGACACTTGCAGAAGGGTATAAGCGCGTGTTTACTTTCACTGATTGTTTCCCAGTAGGTCAGCGGTAAATCTCCGTTCTATAACACTAAAATTCGGCGTTCGATTCCCCGCGATGGACAGAGCGCAGGTGAGCTCACTCTCTAGCTATACGATAAAAAAAAAACCAACGACAACTTTCGCTAACATCTCTTTCGGAAGCTTGGTTTGTAGCAGTAAAACACTACTAGGAAATATTACTATACATTAACATCTGATTACCAGATCTGAAATGAGTCTAACGTGCATTTATAAGCTAGAATTTATTTATTTACTGTTCCCTTGAGATATATTCCAGGTAGAGCAATATAAAGCGTGATAATAAATTCTAGTCGATTGGAAGAATCCCGCGTAAAAATAGGGTTACGTTTCGGAATTATACTGAAAACAGTTTTTAACCTCCAACTTTAGTTTAAAAATCGAAACGGGGAGATTAAATGACGACAGCCGAATGAATAAAGGAAATTAAAATATAATAATGTGTTTTGAGCAACTATATTTTTAAAACTAAAGATATAAGACATAATAATTTGTATAGAAACCGACTCATTGCTTGAGTGAGTTTTAAGGATCATGAAAATTGATATAGTAGTATTATTTATAAGTGTAAACGTATAAACATGAGTTTAAAGCTCATTTATGAATTGTACTATGTTTAGTAATGTATATCGATTACTTTGTCTATGATTATGTTGAACGAACTTAAGTTTAAACTAACTACTACTGCTGCTGCTGGTGAAACAGCAGTAAGTTTACGGACTTACATCACTAAAACCCGGAGTTCGATTCCCAAAGGTGGACACAGCAGCTAGTACGATTTGTCTTTGTTTTAAAACAAACAAACAAAAACTGAACAAACGCCTTTTTATCAGTGGATTACAGCTGAAACTAAATATACAGAAAAACACCCTTGTATCTTTCTTTTATCAAACTGACTGAAAACCCATAATGGGCTTGCTAAAGTTCATCGCTCAAAAAAATTAACATTTAACTGGGATATTTAACAACAACTAATGTTCTGCTAAGGCCCGGCATGGCCAGGTGGTTAGGGCGCTCGACTCGTAATCTGAGGGTCGCGGGTTCGAATCCCCGTCACACCAAACATGCCAACCTCCGCCTTTGCCTGGTCCCAAGTCCAGGATGAGAAAGGATAGCTAGGGCTAGCAACTCCACCCTGTAAAAACCAACCTGCTACAAGTAACTGCAACAACACCTTTCTATGCTCCACTGGGAGTTTACAGGAATAAAAAAAAAATGTTCTGCTAAAAGACTTGTACGTTTTAATCAGAGTAACGCTGTCCTCATAAGATTAAAATATCTGACAATTTAGCTGAACTTCCCAGAGTTTTCACCCTCTCACAATTTTCTTATTATAAATGTGTGGCCATCTAACCGGAACTTTCAAATAACAACTGTACAATGACCAGATAAAATATCCAAGTATTTTAATATCTCGGTTATGATTAAACATTAAGGTTGAATTTTCACAAAAATCCGATAACCCGAGTGCTTTCGAAAGTAGACCTTTCTAGAAAGGTGGGTTAGGACTTACCAAAAATGCTCGGTTATTGGGTTTGTTATTTTCTGGTTCATAGAATTTTATACTATATAATTTCTTAGTACCAAGAACAGTTAAATGATGGTGTCATAAACACAGATTCTTAACAGACGTGTTATGCGGTTCAAACAAAAAGATTTTTCTTATCTGTCTTTTCAGGTGTAAGCGAGTTCATAGTCTGATGGCTAGAGGGCAGGAAGCTTGTAATAAAAAGTAACTTTTTTAAAGTGATAAAATACTCTGACAAAAGCTGTTGATTAACGTATGTTATGTATGAGTCTTATACAATAAGAGTCAGATTGGTCTTACAAAAATTTGCTCTGTACAATATCATAAAACATAGTTATTCTATCTAAATTGATTGTGTATCCATTTGAGATCCTGAGAGAATCCTAAAAAAGAATAATGTTAATACTTTAAACATCTATAAACTGAAAGTGTGAAACATTGTAAAAAAAAGCAAACATAATTTTGAAGATGGATTTTAAACATAATTAGAAAGTTTTAACTTTTTTCTGGCTTTTATTTCAATTCAAATCAGTTATTCACAGGAAAGACGATTTTGTATTGCAGCATTTTGAGCATATTTTGTATTATTGAAATAACGAATTACGCATGCCTCACTGGTGGAAATTTCAAAATGAGATAGGTTAGAAATGATTATAGTCTTATTTATGATCAAATATGCATATTATAAATGCGGTCTACAGTTTTTGTTTTCGGCATATGTTTCAAATGATACAATAAAATTCATAAGTAAGAACACAACAGTTAAAAGTCACGGCACAATGGTGAGAGAGAGGTATTGTCTACTTGAGGCATTATGGGATGTGCTTTAAAATGGTCCTCTACAGCTTTAAAGTTTTTGGAGTTTAGTGTCCGTTCCATAGGTAAACTTCAAGTAGTGGACAATGGAAATCGTTCCATAAATTCTTATTTGTTTAATCTCTTTAGCAGGCTTGAATCTGTGGCTTTATACATTGGTCAAAGTTACATTTAGGCGAATATGAAACATTCAGTTAGGATTGCTTTGGTTTGTTTTGAATTTTGTGCAAAACTACACGAGGACTATCTGCGCTAGCCATCCCTAAGTTATCAGTGAAAGACTAAAGGGAAGGCAGCTAGTCATCACTACCCACCGCCAACTTTTGGGCTACTTTTTTACCAACGAATAGTGGGATTGACCGTCACATTATAACGCCCCCATGGCTGAAAGGGCGAGCATGTATGGTGGAACGGGGATTCAATCCCGCGACCTTAAGATTGCAAGTCGAGCACCCTAACCACCTGGCCATGCCAGTCTTTGAGTTAGGATATAAATCTGGATCTCAGCACCGTATAAAACTACAACGTGGAACCGTTCATGTAATATGAAAAACTTCTGTTGCATTAATAATTAATACTTAAACACTAAGCCCCCTCCCAGTGGCACAGGAGTATGTCTGCGGACTTACAACGCTAGAAACCGGGTTTTGATACCCGTTGTGGGCAGAGCACAGATAGCCCATTGTTCAGCTTTGTGCTTAACTACAAAACAAAGCATTAAACACTAATAAGAACACAATCACAAACCATAAAAATACTATATAAGTTTGTATCTTTCACATTTTGAATACAGATAAGTGCAAATATGACGTATTTTGTCTCATTTTTATACTGATTTTGTTTCTGTTGTTTTTAATTCATTTGTCTTTTCAAACTGAAATATGGAAAATAACAAATAATTACCTGACTTTTAGTGTAAAGAGTCCTGTGCAAATAAATATATATATATACATGTGATTTTAGATTTTTAATTTGACATTATGTTAAAAAAATTATGAACATCATACGAATTTTAACAGAATATATAAGGCACTTTAACTAGGAGAACTTGTAAATTCTAAAATATAAAACCATGAAACCAACTTATTATTTCGAGATAATTGATGAAATTCGTGTGTCTAGCTATCT